AATAAAACTTAAATTTGCTTTGGAGATTGTGAATAATATCAGCATTATATGAATAAGAACAGATTCACGACGTGGTGATTAGATGAGGGCAGAAGTGTGTGAGAAAAGTAAAAGAAAATTATTTTAGAAATAATTCAACAGAGTGAAAACTGCATTTTAATCCAAAATCTTTTTTAAAAAATTACTGAACAGAATTTCTTTGCGGGCTTACAGCAAGTTTTATTTTATAGAAGCTCACCTGCATGTTCTTCAGTATTTTCTTGCCAGCATCTTCTGATATCAGGATAGTGCATGTAGCTTTGTCTGCTGAATCGGGTGAGTTTGCTACACCCTGTACTGTGATCAGAGTGACACATGGAGCATTTTATAATCTGCTGGCCTGCACCATGTACAGTGATGGCAGGGGGGGAATCAGCACACTGAGAGTACAACCAATGCACGTTAACCAGCTGTACATCACCCTCTCTGTTAAGTGGTTTTGATCTGAAGTCACTTCATAAGCAACCTGATTAGAATCATTCGCCTCCCCCATTTAAAAAAAAACCAACATGATACAGCAAAAAGGGAGGACTTGTAAATTGATTTTTGAAATTTTCCAGAAATTTACCCCTCCCTTTCCCAGGAAATGCAGGGTTAGATTTTTAGTCATACCAGTTCCCATCAGTAATAAAATGTTTGGAGGACTATTATATATGGGAAATAACAACGCCATCACAGGGTGTGTGTGTGTGTCATTTCAGGAATTAAACCATTTGCAACTATAACCTCTGTTAAAAGGAGAACACTGAGCATGCAGTGTGTGCAGTTCTGGTCTCCATTATTACAAACAAGAAATAAAGGCATTGGTGAAAGTGCAAAAAAAGATTTATTGGGGAGAGACCAAAGTTGATAGATTAGAACAATTTGGAAAGATTGATCTGGCTAGGACTCTTTTTTCCCTTAGAAAAGGGAAGGTTGAGCTGTGACCTGATGGTGGTCTCCAGGATCATGAAAGAGTTTTATAGGATAGTCATGTGGGGGAGGGGAACCAGAACTAGGGAACATAAATATAAAACAGTCACTAATATATCTGGTAGGAAATTGTGGAGAAATCTCTTTACCCAGAATGGTGAGAATGTGCCATCACAGGGATTGGTTGTGGCAAATAGCATGGATCGATTTAAGGGAAACCTAGATTACTCATGACTGATAAAGGAATAGAAGGATATGCTGATGTGGTGGGATGGATAAGGTGAGAGGAGGCTCATGTGAAGTGAAGGCCTCAGCGTAGTTATTTTGAACCTCATGACCTGTTTCTACACTGTACAAACTATGCAGCTCTGTCTTTTTGTGGTGATGCCTTGGAAGATCCGCTTCAAAGATACCAAGAGAGTGCCATCAAGGTGTAAATTGTATGTGAAAATGGTGGTGTTATTTAACATTTTTGTTATCCCCAGATGCGTTAATTTACAGACCGTAGCAAAGTAGGACACTTGATGGACAACTTTTCTGCTGATTTGTGCAGCACCATGGTATATGAAAATCAGTACAAGCAGTTCCTAGGTGATATTTTACTGAGGAGTCATGCCATCCTCCACATTAGTTTATTTTCCAGCATAAGGGTGTCTGGAGAGCCTGGATACATGGACAAGCAGTCTGATGACACAGAGGCAAAAAAGGGATCAAGAGGTGTAAAGCCAAGTGTCTAAACGGAAAAGGCTTTGAAAATCTGAAGCGCAAAGAGACATGCAAGTTCTATTTCAAGATTCTCTTAAGCTTAACATGCAGGTTCAGTTGGCGGTTAGGAAGGCAAATGTTGTGTTGGCATTCATTTCAAGAGGGCTAGAAAACAAAAGTAGAGACATACTTCTGAGGCTGTATAAGGCTCTGGTCAGACTGCATTTGGAATATTGCAAACTGTTTTGGGCCCCATATCTAAAGAAAGATGACCTGGTGTTGGAGGAGGTCCACAGAAAATTTACAAGGATGAAGGGCTTGTCATATGAGGTGTGGTTGAGGACTCTGAGTGAACTCGATGGAGTTTAGAAGGATGAGCAGCGAATCTGACTGAAACTTACAGGATACTAAGAGGCCTGGGTAAAGTGGATGTGGAGAAGATGTTTCCACTAGTAAGAGAAACTGGGACCTTTGGGCACAGCCTCAGGGTGAAGAGATGATGCATAAATTGGAAATTGTTTGGGGTGAGGAGACAGAAAATCAGGATGCAGTACCCTGATTGGACAAATGTGATAACTGTGAAGAAAAGTTTCAAAAGAGACTGAGATAGATTAAATAAGTGGGAAAATGTGGATGAAAGAGTTCTAAATTGTTGTCATATCCCGAGAACAACTTCCAAGGAGAAATAGTTGGAGTATGGGGAGATAGCAGCATAGTGATAATGTCACTAGATTAATAATCTATAGGTTTAGACCAGTGCTCCTAGGACAAGGATTGAAATTCCACCACAAGAAGTTTGGACTTTTGAAAAAGATTTTTCTAGGATCTAGAGGAAAAGAAACACCACATGCCCACATTCCTCCTTCTCTATCACTATAGGACACATCTGCTGGTTGGGTGTAGGATGCAACTAACTGTCTTTCCACCACTGGAAACCTTTGGCATTTTCAGCTCACCAAAAAATTGTCAGTGAAGCTTAAGATTGAAGGTTTGGGAATGGGCCGCCACTGAATGTCTCTTCCAGGGTCAGGTTCTATATGCCATCTGATGAGACTCCATAAGATCATAAGATTTAGGAGCAGAATTAGACCATTCAGCCCAATGAGTCTGCTCCATCATGGCTGATATGTTTCTCAACCCCATTCTCTGCCTTATCTCTGTAACCCTTACAATCAAGAACCTTTCTATGTCTTAAATACACTCAATGACTTGGCCTCCACAACCTTCTACTCTAAAATTGTTGAACTGCAGGGTGTCCAATTGGAAACTGAGATGCTGTTCTTCCAGCTTGCGCTGAACCTCACTGGAGCACTGTAGTAGGCCCAAGATAGAAGTGTTGGCAAGGGAACACAGTGGTGTATTGAAGTGGCTGGAAATGGGGGGGTCATTTTTTACCAATAGAATGTAGATGTTCCACAAAGCAGTCATCCAGTCTGTGTTTAATTTCGCCATTCTAGAGGAGGCCATATTGTGAGGAGCAAATATAGTATACCTGACTGAGTGAAGTGTAGGTAACTTGCTTCTTCACCTAGAAGGTGTGGCCGGAGTTTTGGCTATAGTGAAGAGGGAGGAGGTAAACAGGAAAGAATCACACCTTTTGCAATGACATGGGAAGATGTTGTGGGCGTGTGGGGAGATTTTGGGATTGTAGCAGGAGTGGACCAGGGTGTGTCAAAGCAAACAGTCCCTGCAGAAGGCTGACAAGAGGGACAAGAAATAGGTGTCTGGCAGTAGCATCTCACTGGAGGTGGCAGAAGTAGTGACTTATGATCCATTAAATGTGGATTCTGGTGAGTTGGAAGGTGAGAACCAGAAAGACCCTATTATGGGAGGGAAGAGAAGGGTTGAGAGCAGCGAATGGAAAACTATGCTACCACACTTTTCCTAAGCCATCTTCATGTCAAATGTTTCTGGAAATTAATCACAATAATATATGATTCATTTCAGGAGTGATAGTATGTCTTAATATATGTACTGTCCAATGAATATCATTGGAAAATGGATTAAATTTCCTGATTAGTAACTCCTGCTGTTGTTTAACATTTTGATCTCCTGGTCCTTCTTGGAACATAACAGAGGCAATTCAAGTCTGGTGTCAAAAAGCTCTCTGCTAAAAAGCAGTTGATCATTGACAATGTCAAATCTGAGATTGCTAGAATTTTGTTAGGCAAGGGGGAAGTAAAGCAGGAAAAGTGAAATTAAGAGACAGATCAGCCATGATCCAATTCAACGATGGTATAAGCTCAGGGAGTGGACCTTCTATCTATGCAGAATGGTGTCCTGGAAGATGAAAGGATCACAATAGCTATTTTGGAGCTGCAACAATGATATTATACACTGCATCAACTGAGCCTTGTGTTCATATGAGCACAAGCTCACACCTTTAAAGACTTTTCACTAAAGTCATACCTCTCTGCAATTCAGCAAAGGAAAATCCAATTTTCTAATCCTGAGGAAAGGTGGTCCACAATGGACTTAGGATACAAGTCATTGGGGTAGATCATCAATGGAGTATTGTGTACATTCTGGACATCACACTGTAGGAAGTGTAGGAATCTACAACAAACATGGTCTGTAACCTGATCTTTTTATCATATTAAATCAAATCTTGACAGTCTCGAAGCAGTAGTCATGCAGAGAAATAAATGCAATTACTGTGTTTCTCTTTTGAACATGTATGTAATTTTATCAAACTATTTGTTCTAATCTCAACACAAATTGTGAAGAAAAGCTCTCTAGTCACATACAGAGTCCTAGATGATTTATTGCTTCCAGATTGCCAATCTGTTTGTCATTAACTGCTCAACTTAACCCCACTGTCCTTTTTTTTATATGAGGATGATCTTGGCTTTTTGGTTTTACAATGGGCAACAAAAGAAGTCAATTGGTATGAATCGCACACTTAAATTTGAAAAGAATTAAACATCTTAATTGCATATTGGCACCCACTTGTAACAGGATTGAGAAGGGGAGGGCATATATCTAAAGTAATTTGCAAAAGAAGCAAACCTGATGTGAGGATAAACTTTTCACAGTGAGTAGTTGGGGTTTGGAATGCAATGCCTGTAGGTGTATTGGAGGCAGCTACAATCAAGACATTCAAGAGAGCATTAAATGATATTTAAATAGAATTCTGGGTTCCCGAAAAAGGCACTAAGTCATGATGCTCATACAGAGAGCTGGTGCAGATATGATGGGCTGAATGTCCACTTCTGTGACATTACATAATGGAGCATCCCGAATGTCTACAATTGAATCATTTCATGATTTCTACCTAGATAAGCATTCAGAAGTTAAATATGATTAAACTAATCTTAATCCTATGAATATCTGTTTACTTATAGGTAGTTGTCAAGACCTTGGCACACAGCATATTTACCAGAATGCTTCCAGGTAAAAGTGACTTCATCGTAGTTGGCTGAATGGCTTCTTCCTGTGCTGTACAATTCTGTGATTCTGTTGATTGAGGCCCATGATGAGAGTTGACTTTGGCAGTGAGCAGGGACTCGATAATATGGCATTTCAATGTTAGAACATATGGGGTGACCTCTTCACAGCAGCCAAGGTAACAGGAGGCAGATACGCCTTGGACAGTTCACTGAAATTAGCAAGTTACCCAGACACTGCCACTTTACCCTTGCTGTGCAAAACACGATCTATAACTTACTACTGCATGCAGGAGGTTCAGCAACATTCTTTAAACCCTTCAGCAATGTTCCCTTACTGTTGAATGCACAGAGAAACAGTAGAAAAGGCAACTGATGGATATTTAATGACCTGCTTCACTAAGGAATCTTGAGTTAATTGCATATGCTGGTAGTTTATATCTCCAATCACTTTTGTCCTACATGGGAAACAGCTTTGACTGAAGGCAAGACAGTAACCATCTCAACACTCTAAGGCTCCTACAGCACATTAGTCAGCAATTTCTTAAGCAGAATCTCCCAAATCTGTAACCTCCACAATTCTAGAAAATCAAAGGCAGCAAGCACAAGGAAGAAGAGGAGGAGAGCATTAAGAGAGGTTGTTCTCGGTGGAATGTTTGTGACAATCAAGGGATATGTACTGAGTGATCTGAGGCTAATTGCTGCACAAATGAACAACAGAATGGGTCTCAAAGGCAGCCACAGCCAGTGGCTGTGAGTTACCCGATATCAGGCACCTAAGTTGAACTTACTACTAACAGGGGACTTAGATGATAGGATTCAAACAAACATTGACTTTAATCAGCTAACATAAGATGTGGCTACAGACATCAGTGCTGTACAAATTATTGCCGAATTACTCCACCTGAATTGACAGTGAGAAGAGACGTGGATTACAAGTGGTTGGGTTTAGGAGCCTGTCTATTCTGGAATCTCTACTGTCATTCTGCTAGTCTTTCTCTTCTTCCTTTGCAAAGTGAAGAACTGGAGAGACTCAGATTCTAAGCCTCAGTCTGCCAATACAAACATTATAAAAGTACAAGAAATAATAATTTAGAAATGAAAACAAACACGGTAGTACAGAACTAGAGCTGAAAAGAGTACCATCATGACATGGACTGCACCAGTTCAGGAAGGCACGCACCTTCTCCAGGGCAATTAAGGATGGGTAATATTGCTGGCTGAGCCAACAGCATAAAAAGTTTTTTTAAAAAGTAAATGTCTTGCACTGATCAAGACAAATGCAAGCATTTCAAACAGTCATAATGATTTATACTACAGGAGAAAAGGGTTGGCTCATCGACTCTCATTGGCTGAGGAATTGCTATTGGAGTAAGCAGCATGGAACTAGCATGGAACTACAGGCTCCCCAAGTTTCCAGATTATTCAGAAAAGGCCTAAGGCTTAAAAATTTGCCTTTGGTAGTCTGAATGCATTTGTATGTATTTCTCTTTTAGCAAGGGGAAATAAACCATGTCGTGAACTTCATTGATTATCTTAAATTATTTGTTAGTGTAGCTATAAGCGCACTCAGTTGTTCAATTTGTGCGACCAATCATGGAATCACATCGAACACTAGGTGTTTTTTGGGTTTTACCAGCAAGGGCGATTTGTTTACTTTGCCAATTACAAATTTGAAAATATTTCAGTATTACCATTTGAAATTGCTGTTCGTGGCATTTTAAAATGCATTGAAAACTCCCCTGTCAGGCTTTGTCTGTGGCAAAATCGGTAGTGATTGTAATGAGGTCAGCCAGGTGGACCTCATAGAATATGAGTTCCATGACTGGGGCTGTTAATCTGAACGAATCAGGGAGCTCTAGCTGGCAGATAAAAGCAGGAACGTCAGAATCACTGATACTCTGAGCGCTGGATCAGTGTCAAGGACATTCCATGTGTAAATAAAGGGTGACTTGGTGATAGGATACTGGTCTTCGTGGAGTTATTTCAGTGATGATGACAGCAAAGCACACTCCTAAAAAAATTCACTCGCAACAGCCTTTAAGTTGGGGTAAGCATTTCTGGCATTGTGCCATTATTTGAGAAGCTTGACTCATTCAATCCTGCCATCGAAGACTGGGCCCAGTATGTAGAAAGAATGTGCTTTTTTGCCAGACAAATGATACTGAGGCAGATGAAAATCAAGGAATAATTCTCTTGACAGCTTGTGGACCTGCAGTTTTTTTCGGATGTTAGGTCCTTAAATTTCCCTGAGGCACCAGATACTACAACCTTCCAAGAGTTGACAGATTTAGTCAAGAAATATAACAACCCCAAGCCTACACCAATTCTGAGTCACTATCGTTTTCACTCTGCAATTCATGAATCAGGACAATCCATATAGGGATTTTTTACTGGGTTAAGAGGCATCAGACTTTGGTATAACCCTTAGTGAAATGCTGAGAGACTGCTTAGTATGTGGGATTAATGATGTAACCATGGCAAAAAAGCCTACTACCTGAAGCCCAACTGGACTTCAAACAGGCACTACAACTGGCTTTATCATTGGAAAATGCAGCAAGTGGAGCCTATGGGTTGCATGGTATTCTGATGGAAGTGGACACTCTCGCCAATCCAACTGAGCTTGGGAAACACCACTTGAGTGAAGGCAATTACATAGCCTTGCTTAGGATATATCCTGAACAGGGGGACTCTAGGTCAGCCCACAGCAAAACCCTAAAACAAAGCCAAGCCTCAGCCAAATAGTTAAAATTTTCTTCAGGATCCAGGCTGGCAAGCCATTATCATTGCTGCCTCTATGTGGACTCAAGACAGCAAAAGCGTCCCACTAGACCTAAACTGAGTAAGAGAAATCATAGGACGATATCCAGGAGAGTGCACACCCTGGAAAGTCCACCTACATCTGGTTTGAAATAGTTAAATTTGGAACAGCAACATCCAAATCAGAATCAATCAAAATAAACATCTGGTTAAATGGTCATCTGGTTCTAATGGAGGTGAATATCAGTATAGCCAATTCAATGATCACAGAACCAACCATTAACAAAATAATGTGAGAATTTCTGTCTGATAGCCAGGATTGAATGCAGACATAGCCTTATTGGTGGGGCAGTGTCCAGAGTGCCAACAAGGACAAAAAGTACTGCCTGCAGCTCCCATACATTCTTGGGAATTGTCAGGTAAACTCTGGATTCGGTTATATGTCGACTATTAGGAGCTCAATGTTCTCAGTCATTGTGGATGCCCACTCAGAGTGGCTGGACATACGTAGAGTTCATTCACCAAATACAATAATACAATATCCTTTTATTGTCACATGTACCCCACTATAGGAGTACAGTGAAAAACTTTTACAATGTCAACCTTCTTATAAAGACATCTTAGGTACAAGAACCCAGGTACTATTCTTGGATACAGCAGAGGGATAAAAGTAGTTGCTTAATTACATAATTGAAAATAAGTTAAAAATAGGAATATATTAAGAGATATATTACAGTGTTCTAAGGGATGATGATAGAAAAATTGTTTGCATTTTTTGCAATACACAGACTCCTGGTAGTGTTGGTCACAGGTAACAGGCCATCGTTTACCAGCAGGGATGTTCAGTATTTGCTAAAGTCAAATGGTATTCGATATACAAGGACAGCTTCATACCATCTATCACCCAATGGTCTGATGAAAAGAGCAGTCTAAACTTTGAAGGCAGGCTTACAGAGACAGCCTACAGCTTCACTAGATATCAAACTGTCCTTGTTCCTATTTGATTATAGGACCACCCCTCATACAACTGCAGGGATATCTCCAGCAGAGGTGATAATGGCGAGAAGATTCCACACAAGGTTAAATCTGATCTTCCCCTACCTGGGGATGGAGAGTGAAATGGCATCAGGAACGTCAATGCTGGACACAAGATTCAACCAAGCAAGGGAGACAGTTTACTTAAGGGGATGAAGTTTGGTGTAGGAACCACAGAAATGGCCCTGCATACATAAGAGGCATAGTTGGCATGAGGTCAGGTGCACTGACATATAAAGTTCAGGTAGGTGCAACAGTCCTGAACAAGCATGTGGACGACATGAAAGCTGCAAATTCACAAATTGGTTGGGAGCAAAATGTGCTCAGCTCCTCGGAACAGTCAGAAAGACTGGTGGAACGCTGAATTCTCCCTCTCCTTCAAGCATTGAAGAAATCTCGGAAACTGAGATGGATGCAGTAATGTTGCCATCTCAATTCCTTTGTCTCCTGAAGAAGAGAATGAATTTCTTCCAAGATGCTCCAGGCACAAGAGGCAAGCTAATGTGCATTACATTCCGCCCGTATCTGAGGCAGAGTCGAACAAACCTGAGCTGGTGCTAAAACACCCCAGGAGAAACTACAAGGAAAAGAACTTGCCTGTGTCCTCAGCCTCAGAGGGCGAAGGATGTAATCATTGTAACAAGGTCAATCAGGTGAACCTCATAGAATATGAGTTCCCTGATTGGCACTGTTAATCTGGTCCAATCAGGGAGCCCTGGCCGACAGACAAAAACAGGAATGTCAGACATCTTGATACTCTGAGCTGGCTCTGAGCAAGCTGGGTCAGTGTGAAGGACTTTCCATGTGTAATTAAAGGGTGACTTGGTGACGGGTTACGGGTCTCTGTGGAGTTATTTCAAAATCCTTTTTAAGTGTCACTAGTTATCTGTAGTACAATATGTGTAGACAGCACAATGATAGGCAATTTTACTGTTATTTGTCAAATGATGTTAGTCGACATGATGCCTTCATTGCACATTTTTGGTGTAAATTTTCATGCAGTACACCACCATTCCTAACCGGCATCTGTCTGACCATACATTCTCCTGAAGTCACAGTGATACAATTAGTCACTGCCTGAAAGATTCAGAGCTTTAGCAAAAGTATCAATTGCAGAGAATGATCAAGTATTTATCTGATTCACTTTAGGCACTTATTGTTCTGAGACCTGTGATGATCAATCTATTGTCATCAACATGTGAAAAGTTGTGGCCATAATTTTCCCCATGTGCGCTCACTATGTGTGAGGTAACTTGCCAAAGATGACCAAGAGCTCAGTAAATCTGCTCTTGACTTTTGTTTAATTGGTGGTGCTGTGGAAACAAATAGACAATATTTCTCCTTTTGATGTTGGAGATCTGCCTGTCCTGCTGCCAGTACAGTAAATATGGGCCTGTCTGAAGCAATGCCCAGAAGTACCAGTCTCAGTGAAGTTACTGACTGAATTAGCAGTCAGCTCAGTTCTGAGCTATTCAGGAGGATATTATTTCATGTCAGAAGCTCACTAGGTACACTTCCTATATGGACACTTATTATGAGGCTCATCACCCTCTACAAGGTAGTGTTTAAAACACTACACACACTGACTGCAACCTTCAGCATAAAGTTTCATTGTGCCAGAGCCAAAAGGCACACTGCTCCTGCAGTTGGAAGTGGTAGTTGGAAGATGTAGATGGCCAAATCCCAAGTGCGAGGCGCTCACAGCCCTCACTTTCAACTGGCAAGTACCCTAGCACACTCCACTCCAAAATTGTCAGCTGTGACTCAATAAGTTGCACTCTTACTGTAAAGTCAGAAACCCATGGATTCAAACATTGATTATTCAGATTCATGACTAGCTGTTCAACAACAACATAACAATCCAGGCTGATATTGATCCAAGGGAGTTCTGCAGTCTGATGTACATTCTTTTGGATGAGATGCTAAACTGTAACGTTATCTGTCCCTAGGTAGATGTAAAAGATGACACGCATGGGATTTCCCAGAGGCCTGGTACTCAACCCGGAACTCCATCAACAAACGTGGAAATAGACCCCATCTACCAACCGCTACAAAGCAGAACCAGAAATGAGGCTAACCATCAGATCAGACTGGACCCACATAAATAACAAGTGGGACAAACCAACAGCGCATCATCGGAGGCACACTGATGATATTACCTAATATGATGACGAAATGTCTGCAAACCAGTCTATTAGATCAGTGAACAAATCAACAACCTCATCCACAACCCGAGCTACAAGTCTTCTCAAAAACTTTAAATCCTCTGGCACTAATTGAAGGCACCAAAGGAGTTCAGTCTGAGATCAATACTTTCCTTCAGCCAAAATTGCCATAAATAGATTATTCTAATTATTCTCAATTTGCTCAGTGTGAAATATTGCCACGTGCAAATCGGCTACCACATTTGCTACTTTACTACTGTATTTCATTAACTGTGAAATGCTTGAGGACTTCATGTGGTTGTGAAAGATGCTATAGAATTGCAATTCTTTTATTAGAAGGAAAACCATACAGAGCCTCAAGCCCATTCATGACTGATCTGTACCAAATTAATTTATCAATCTTGGTCCACCGCCTTTAATATTATTGGGCAATAAAAATGTATCAACCTCAGTTTTGAAATTGTCAATTGACACCCAGATGCTACAGCTTTTTGGCAGAGAGAGTTTCAGATTTCCATTTGCCTTTGTGTGCTTCCTGACATCACCTCAGAAAGGTCCAGCTCTCATATTAATGTAATGCCACTTCATTTGAATCCCAGCAGTAGAGAAATTTATTTCTCTGCTTTTGAGTAGAATTAGGAACTATAAATGTGTTCAGAGAGCTGCCATTTTTGACATGATGGAACATGCCATCCTGTTAAATACTCTGTGCCCTATTCAAATCCTTTCTACAAGCAATATATTGGAGGTGTTAGGTCTTCTAATCGTTGTGTTTGTCAAATATGGATACCTGGGGGCCCCATACATATAATTACCTAGTTTACACTACAAAAACAGGCCTTTCATCCAACTGGTTAATGCTGATGTTAATGCTCGATACAAGCTTCCTCTCAACACTACTTCATTTCACTATATCAGCAATATATTTGGTACAGTCTGTACAATTATGCACCCAAGACATAAGAGATGTAAAATTTCCCCAGTGTTTTAATGTGTATTTACAGTCTAAGCAGGGTCCTCCTCTTGGCAATTTTTTCAGAAGAACTTCCAAGGCACTGTCATCATTTTACAGCACAGAAAGAGGGCACTCAGTCCAAATGATCCATGTGGTAACTTAAGCCTTCTACCCTATTAATCCCACCACATTAATGCATCATTTTGATTTTTTTTCCCTTATGTTTTATCCAGCTTCCCCTTAAATGTATCTATATTCATTCCTTCAACCATTCCTGTGGTTGTGAGTTGTCAACAGTATCTGGGTAAAAATGTTTTGTCTAAATGCCTAATTTATTAGTCACAATATGTATGATCCCTGGTTTTGCTTTCATCTGCAAGTGGAAACACATATATATTTACTCTGTCAATACCTTCCATAACCATACAGACCTTTTATCAGGCCACCCCTCAGTCTGTAGAAACTAAATGTGCTGTGATTTGGAAGACACAGACTCAGGGCCCTTGATGTTCTGGGATTGAAGTCCCTCAAATGCTGCCTGGTGGATGAAGAAACTGGGTGGGATCTGCCCAGAAAGGTGATATGTACATTAGCCTTATCTGGACAGGACCAAAGGATTGCAAGGAGTCTCCATATAAGCAGCTTATTATAAACAGAACCTACTGCCACTCTTAGTTAGGCACGAACAATCACTCTCATATGCCCCATTTTCCAAATACCATCTGCTTTATAGAAAGCATCTTAGAAGCTTCAGCAAGGTCAGAATTTCCCCATTTATCAGTCACGGGGCAGAGGAAGATCACAAATGTATTTGGGACCCTAATACTGTTCGACTTGTCCCTGTGTTTAGCACTCGTGTTTCAGAGGCAGAAAATTTTGGGTCCAAGTCGTATATAGAGCCTTGAGGGGAAGTCTTGTGGCACAGTGGGTAGACACTCTGCCTCTGGGCCAGAAGCTCTAGATTTGAGTTCCACATCAGATCTTGATGGTCAAAGAACATACATAAGAACTAGGAGCAAGAGTAGGCCATCCAGCCCCTCGAGCCTGCCCCACCATTCAATAAGATCATGGCTGATCTTTTTGAGGCTCAGCTCCACTTACCCGCCCGCACACCATAACCCTTAATTCCTTTACAGCTACAGGGAAGGCACATTTGTAATATGATCAAACAGGATGTGTACTAATTGTTAAATCCTTCTAAAACAGGCCGATGTGAAGGTGATAAGAGTAAAAGAGATTCAACCAGGCAAGAACCTTGGAGCTTCTACCATCAGTATCTATACCTGCAGACTGGACTTGGACTCCCTTAGTGAACTGCACAAACAAAAGAGTTTTCATAGACTTGGGTGCAAAATACAGGTTAACACTATCAGTACAGTACTGTGGGAGTGCTACATTGCCAGAGCTGCTGTTCTGCAAAAGAGCATTAACCCTGAGCTACATTCGCCAACTCAGGTGAATATGAAAGATTCTGTGACAATATTTTAAAGAGCAGGGGTAAGTTCTCCCTGTTGTTCAGTCCAAAATTTATCCCTCAATCAATTCCAAAAACAATACTATTTGAGTGTATTATTGTTTGTGGGATCTTCCTGCACTCAAATAGGTTGCTGCCTTTCTACATTACAGCAGTGAGTGCACTTGCATAAGGTACAATCGCCTTTCTTTTCTGTAAAACAGAAGTCCTCTGACATGCCTGATATATGTGAACCTTCTAGAATTGCAGAACCCGCAGTGCAGACAAAAAAAAACCACAAGTGGTCACAATTACATTTGTCACCCTCATTGATTCCTCATCCCCATCTAAATAATATAAGACATCTAGTGACTCTCCTTAGTTTCAGACAATGGACTAAAGATTCAAAGAGGAGGCAATGGCTTGACGTCATCCTTACCAATCTTCTGGCTGCAGATGCATCTGTCTGTGACAGTACTGGTAAGAGGGACAACTGCACAGTTCTTGTGGAGACAAAATCCTGCCTTCATTTTGAGAATAACCTCCATCGTATTGTGTGGCGTTACCACCATGCTAAATGTGACAGCCTTCAACTAATAGGAGAGACGAGGAACCGCAGCTTCAGAGTGAAGGGATGACCCTCGAGAACTGAGATGAGGAGGAATTTCTTTGGCCAGAAGGTGGTGAACCTGTAGAGCTCATTGCTGCAGCAGGCTGTGGAAGTTAAATCATTGAGTGTCTTTAAAATAGAGATAGATGTGCTCTTGATTGGTAAGGGGATCAAAGGTTGAGGGGGGGAAGGCAGGAGAATGGGATTGTGAAACATATCTACCATGATCAAATGGTGCAGCTGACTTGATGGGCTGAATGGCCTAATTCTGCTTCTATACCTTATGCTTTTATTATGGTCTTATGGAATGCTGCAACCACTAACTCATCTCCTGACTCCTCAAAGCTTGTTTACCAGCTACAAGGCACAAGCCTGGAGTGTGATGGATATTCCCGACTTTCCTGGATGAATGCAGATCCAACAAGATTCAAGAAGCTTGACACCATCCAGGACAAAGCAATTCACTTGATTGGCACCACATCCACAAGAATCCACTGCTTCCACCTCCAACTCTCAGTAGTAGTAGTGTACACTACCTGCAAGATGCACTGCAGAAATTCACCAAAGAACCTTAGAAAGCACCTTCCAAATTTACAACTACTACCATCTAAAAGGACATGGGCAGGAAATACATGGGAACACTACCACCTGCAAGTTCCCCTCCAAGCTTCTCATCATCCTGAAATATATCACCTTTACTGTCACTTGGTTAAAATCCTGGACTTCTCTCCCCAAGGGCATTGTGGATCTCCCAACAGCACATGGACTGCAGTGATTCAAGATGGCAGCTCACTAACACCTTCCAAAGGGTAACTAGGCATGTGCAATGAATGCTGGCCATCCAGTGAGACCCACTATATGGGTGAATATTTTTTATTCAAATGTACATTTAGTAATTGGGCTGTAGATGCTTTTGCAATTGTGCTTATTTTTGTTTGTGATGAACTTTCAATGGTTATCATTTAGATATCTGTTTTCCATCTGGTTGTGAAACTCTAGCATTGCAACTCCATCTAAACTAACAAACTTATGTGAGGAACAACAGGATGGCCAGAGTGAGGGTAGGGTCAATCAGGGATAGTGGAGGGAACTTGTGCGCGGAGTCAGAGGAGGTAGGGGAGGTCCTTAATGAATTCTTTGCTTCAGTATTCACCAGTAAGAGGGACCTTGACGTTTGTGAGGACAGCATGAAACAGGCAGATATGCTCGAACAGGTTGATGTTAGGAAGGAGGATGTGCTAGAAATTTTGAAAAACATGAAGATAGATAAGTCCCCTGGGCCAGAGGGGACATATCCAAGGTTTCTACGGGAAGTGAGGGAAGAGATTGCTGCCCCTTTGGCAATGATCTTTGGGTCCTCACTGTCCACTGGAGTAGTACCAGAAGATTGGAGGATGGCAAATGTCATTCCCTTGTTCAAGAAAGGGAATAGGGATAACCCTGGAAATTACAGACCGGTCAGTCTAACTTCTGTGGTGGGCAAATTATCGGAGAGGATTCTGAGAGATAGTACTTATGATTATTTGTAAAAGCACAGGTTGATTAGAAATAGCATGGCTTTGTAAGGGGCAGGTCATGACTCACAAGCCTTATTGAATTCTTCAAGGTTGTAACAAAATATCAATGAAGGTAGAGCAGTGGATGTGGTATATATGGATTTTAGCAAAGCATTTGATAAGGTTCTACTTAGTAGGCTCATTTAGAAAGTAAGGAGGCAGGGGATTCAGGGAAATTTGACTGTCTGGATACAGAATTGGCTGTCCAACAGAAGACAGAGGGTGGTAGTAGATAGAAAGTATTCAGCCTGGAGCTCGGTGACCAGTGGTGTTCCGTAGAGATCTGTTCTGTGACCTCTACTCTTTGGGATCTTTATAAATGACTTGGATGAGGAAGTGGAATGGTGGGTTAGTAAGTTTGCTGATGACACTAAGGTTGGTGGAGTTGTGGATAGTGTGGAGGGCTGTTGTAGGTTGCAACAGGACATTG